GGTTACAGAGGGCTTTTGTAAGTTGTGAGCCTGGAGTGCAGATAATCATGACTGCAGTTTCCTGGTGGAGAAAAAAGAAGATATTTCCTCATTAGCTGTGGTTTTGAGACAGCTGAAGGACTTAGGCTACTGATTTATTGAAGTTGTTATGTTTTGGAACCTTGTTGTGACCCTAACCAGCACCGTAAGTGGGGGTGATAAAATAGACATTGTGAGGGAGTTCAAGAAGGAGTCACTCGCTGCAAAAGAAAATAAAGACATAGGCCCTTAGATGGATAACAAGCCAATTTACAAAACATGTAGTTTCAAATTTTGTTCTGAGCTTATTCTGCATAATTTGTTCAATGATTGGAAAATATTTAAGTGTCCATAATAAGCATTTCCATAATTGAGATTTCTTACAGAAAAAAAGCATGCTACAATATACACTGAAAAATTTCTAACAAAATTTTGTGAAATTAGGCCTTTAATCCTATTTTTTCCTGCTGCTGCTAAAATAAAATATTCTATTAGGTATGTAGATGTAGTTAAATTTATTGTAGTACAGTCCATCTGTTCTTTTAATACATATATTTAAGTAACATATTACAAACAAAATGTGCTAAATGACTTATGTGTTTTAAGAAGATCTTCTTATGTTTGTAATATATTTGTCATTTTGAACTTTATGAGTGACAGTGTGAGTTAAACAAGCTGCTGCTCCTTGAGATAAATAGTCAGGGTAATTGCTCAGGTTGAAAGTTTGTTGTTGACTACTGAAGACACCCCCATAGCTTATACTTTTAAATGGACCTCACTCCCTTAGTTTCCAAACCATGTTTCTTCTTGTTTTGTATTACCCCCAGATATTTTGGAACACTTAAATGTATGTTTGGTTTTTGAAAATCAAACTAAGATTGAGTGTTTTGGTTCAAGTAGAATTACCAACATTTTTTTTTTTTTTTTTCAAGATGTTATCTCTGTCTTGTGTTTTATTGTTGTGCAGTTCTCTGTTTGGCTAGTTTGCTGGATTTTAAGGTGCCCCTGTATATATTTAATGAAAATTGTTTAGTATTTATATTCCACAAATAATTTACCTCTGATTGTAAAAATTTATACATAGCTATGTAGCTATAGCTAGCTATAGATATCAGAAGCTTACATACAGTAGTGTTACACTGTTTTTAAACTGTTTTAGATACCCTAGATCAGGCATCTCTACAAGGACGGTCCTTGAGGGCCTCTATCCTGCAGGTTTTGGAGGTTTCCCTGTTCCAGCACAGCTGATCTCCATTGATAGTTGATTAACAGGCTTTTGCTGAACAGAAATCATCAGAATCCACTATGCTGAAGCTTTAGAGGTGCTGAAACCTCTAAAACCTGCAAGACAGCAGTCCATAAGGACCGAATTTGGGAATGCCTGCCCTAGATTATGATGTCATGACTTGCAAGTTTCTAAGGTTTTAGGGCCAAGATGTACTCCTGTATTTGGTTGCCATGGTGGTTTGTGCGCACCATGCAGGAAATTAAACAGAAGTCCTGCTTCTGACCTGGCAACTACACAGAAATAGATGGTAGAATTAATCTGGAGGTATACCTGACGGCACACAGACGGAGATGGGAGGACGAGAAACAAACCTACCAGTGTAGCCCATACAAATCTCTTTTTTTAGATAAAATATAGTTTAAAAAAGCTGGTTTACTAATAAAGCGGAATTCATTTATAGTGTGGAAAGATGTTTCAGACTTTATTTATGTTGGAGGTGATGGAAATAGAAACCAAAATCCTGGTTTATATCCACAAGTATCGCAAATAAACTCACCTCTAGCATGTGCAAGGACTTTGTCTATGCTGTTTTCAGTCACTCAATAAACAGTTACAACACTTCATTTTACAATATTGTGCCACTTGAACCTTCTGGGCCATATGATGTTTGTACAGCCAAAGTTGTTTCGTTCTTGGCAACTCAATAAACTGCCATTCAGAACGAAGCTGATGCGCGTAATCGGCACCAAGATACGAAAAGTCAGAGTAGCGATACCTTGCGCGGGGGCTGTATGAGCCGATTGCGCTCTGGGACAGCAATTTTGTTTCACTTTTGGCACGCACACCATCACGCCCTGCTCAATGCGGCATGTATAAACCAAACTTTTATTCACAACATTTGATGTGCAAATATCTGATGCCCAAAAGTGGCAACTTAATCTTTCTAAACGGTTAAATGCAAAATTAATCACCATTAGAATGCCCAGTCATCTTATTGTTAAAGTAGCATATGGATTTTTTCGCTTCGAAGTTAAAAATGTTCAAATGTGCATATTAACTGAAGAGCAAATGCAAAAGATCTCATGAAGATATCTGCTGAAACTGGTTAGAAAGTGTCTTCATCTACAGTCAAACACGTGCTGCAACCATTGTGGGCTGTAAAGCCAGTCTGAGAGGAAAAAAGAAGTATTACATAAACAACATAAAAGGTCAGATCACAGTTCCATTCCAAAAAGGAAATGTTTGCAAGCCTGAGCATACTTTTTCCAAATATGCAGGTGTTCATATTGAGGAGGTGTTTTGCTGCAGGGTGTATTGGTAAACTTCACAAAGTAGCTAGTGTTTGGAAGAAAAATATACAGGTACTGTGAAAGTAAAGCACCATCTCAAGAAAGGAAAGGATCTTAGGTACAAATAGGTCTTCTTCCTCTAGAAATATTTATGTTAAACTTGACTTAACTTCTCTTTTTTGTGTGGGAGTGTTCAGCTCTAGCCTTGCATTCTCTCACAGCATCTCTGCGTCATTTCTGATAGCTTCACCTTGGCTCTGTCACAGCAGTTTCTAATTTCCTCTGATTAGGTCTTATGATTTGTCATTTCTCTCTCTTTCCCGCCTTAGTATATATGCTCATAGGTTCTATTTGTTCCCCACTAATAACTCTAAAGCTCGGCCTGTTTTTCCTAATTTTCCATTCTTGTTTTCAATCAATGATCCCTGTTCAGTTCTCCTTGCGCCTGTATGCTTCTGTATTTTGGTTACATATGCAATCTTTTTCTATCCACCATTCTGCTCTATCCAGATCCTGTCTCACAAAACATTATAACACTACCCAATACAGTAGCAAAGAGGATCTGGGGTCCGCTTCACGTAGTAGGTATAGCAAACTCAGATTCAAATCTGTAACTCTAAAAAGATCTATACTAATGTCTGTAACGGCTGCTATAAAATAGTTTAATCAACTCTAAGTAGGTCCACTCAGAGTTGCGCAGGTGCGTAACAAGTATGAAAAGCCATTATCAGTA